TTCTCATTCGGTACAATTGTTTTACAAATTACAAGTACTAACTTCTCCAGTATGAAGTAAATGATTTTAATATAAACTTTACTTTTATTGTACAGTATGAACCCGGTAAAGACCACTTCAGATTACTTTGGAAAAAATTACGCCAAGAAGATGTTGATCAATAATAAAAAATTATTGCATAATTTAAATAACATTATTATTATTTACGTAATATTGTTGAACCATTATCCATTTTATTAGTAAACATTGAATATTATACCAACGGCTAAAGGTAGATAATGCGACAACGTGTGCTCTCACAGATCATATCGAACAAATGGTTTTATAAACTTTGAGTTGTCATTGAATTAATAGGTTATCATTCTTACAGTCCTGATTTGGCATCTAATGTCTTTTTATTGTTCTAGTACATTAAAGACAAGATGCGTGGATGAATATTTCCACCATTTTGATGCACATCCCAATAAATGGATTCCATACGTTCTTACCGGAGTTGAGTTGATTGCATCTCATTAATTTGTTTCTTAAAGAGAAGGATAACTTTTTCCCAAGCATTCAATTACCAATTAAAAATTTTTTTTTGTGCCAAAGTTGGTTCAAAAAGATTGGTACCTTTTCTGTAAAAAAAAGATAAAATTTGTTTCTATATAATTGTTTCTATATAAGCAAATACAATATATATAAAATGAACAGAAGATATGGAACAGTACAAGTCTTCTTATCTATAACAATTTTATTATTTAAATAATCGAACTATCTTCTGCTGACCATTCATAGTGCATATATTTTTTATCAAATAGTTCTTTGTATAACATAATACTAGTTAAGGTCTTAATATCCATTCCAATCTAAATTTTCTTTTACTTTTTGTAGCTTCAATATTTTTGCTAACTCAATACATAAAATTATTTTAGATTCATAGCGCACACTTGCATTTATAAATAAATTTAATTGGATAATATATATAATAAAGTTTGCGCTTCAAAAAAGTACAATTTTCTAAAAACGAATACCAGAGTACTATACGGAAAGAAAAGTAGCAGTTTTGATACTACAGTACTACATGTGCCAACCGTGCTCTCACCGTCTGTCCCTCTCTGTACAGTGAAATATCATTCTATATCTCTCTACTGTCTTACCTTCCTTACCTCCACAAAGCTCTTTTACCATCCTCTCTACCATTTCTTTCTTCTCTTTCACCACTCTCTCCATTTCTCTGTTTTCCCATTTTTTCTTTCCAACTGTTTCTCCCATACAATTTCCGCATTCAGTGGTTTCGGAAAATATCGCATATATCTTAAAATTTGATAAGAATTTTTTAAGATATATTAAATACTTTTATTATCCATTGGGATGATTATGAAACAATTATCTTGAAATAAAATATATAAATAAAAATATAAATAAATAAATATAATAAAAAAAATATAGAAATAAAAATACAATTTTTATTTGATAAGAATTTCTATAGGTCTATTAAATGTTTCTATTGTCCATTGGGATGATTAAAAATGAAACAATTATCTTGAAATAAAATATATAATTAAAAACATAAATAAATAAATATGATAAAAAAAAATATAGATAAGATAAGATAAGATAAGATAAAAACATTGATAAGATAAAATGATAAAAATTTCTTAAGATCTATTTAATGTTTCTATTGTCTATTGGAATGATTAAAAATGAAACAATTATCTTAAAATAAAATATATAATTAAACACATAAATAAATAAATATAATAAAGAAAAAAATATAGAAATAAAAATAAAATTTTTATTTGATATGAATTTCTATAGGTCTATTAAATATTTCTATTGTCCATTGGGATGATTAAAAATGAAACAATTATCTTGAAATAAAATATATAATTAAAAACATAAATAAATAAATGTAATAGAAAAAAAAATATAGATAAGAATATAGATAAGATAAGATAAGATAAAAATATAGATAAGATAAAAGGATAAAAATTTCTTAAGATCTATTCAATGTTTCTATTGTCTATTAAGATGATTAAAAATGAAACAATTATCTTGAATGAGAGTTAAATTTTTATTCACTTTTTATCTTGGAATTTTACAGCAATTTTTTTTTCACATTTTCATATACGTAATTTAATTGTTTTACTGGCTTTTACATGTAAATGCATTTAATTAATTTTTAATTTAAGTTTAAGTTTAAGTTTTATAAAATACACACTAAAACGCTTTAAAACATCAAGAGCGAAGATAAAAAATGATTCTGAAATATTATTTTTATTATTTTTTTTCTTTCTGAGTTTATTTTTTAACTATGCGTATTCAGCATGTTTTATATAATATAAGAATTTATGTAATATTATTTTATTTTTATTTTAAATTGCAATAATTTTAAAACATTAAAATGTGATTTTTGGTTTTGGTTTCCATTCCCGTTTATTTTTTTTATTAATTCGCTTCATATTATTTTTTATTTTGCTCGCAGCAATAATAAGTTCTGTTCTTTTTTATAATATTTTATTTTATTTGTACAATTATATATGTGTGTATATAGATATATGTATATATATATAGTATATATAAATATTTTATTAAATATTTGAATATATGTAAATTTATTTTATGTATTTAATTTTTGTGCAAAATTACTTTAGATTTTGCTTTTGGTTTTAGGCTATGCGCATCAACTTTATTAATTTCATTAATTAATTTTTTTTTGTTTTTAATAAATTTTTTTTCCATTTAGTTTATCTCTTTCAGTTTCTGTAGAACTTTATTTTAAATGCACGATGATACGATTACTACAAACATCAATAAGTATATATGTTATATACAATATATACTTTTCGTTAGATTTCAAATATTTTAGATTAATGAAATATTTTTTATTTTATTTTCTTTTATTTAATTTTATTTTTGACTTTATATTGTTATTAATAAATTATTTGGAAATATGAAATTTAATTTTTGGCTTCAGTGTTTATAGTTTTTATTTGCATATAAGTATCTGTGGCTCTTTCAAGTTTTGTTAATTATCTATATATATTTTTTTTTTTGGAATACATCGATTTTATTTGTGTAGAACTTTCAGTGCTATAATTATTTTTAATTAAACAATTACTATTTCACTGTTTTATAATAATTTTAATAATATTCGTTTTTAACTAAAAGGAGCAATTTTTATGTGAAACTATAAATTTCTTAAAGCCACTTACACCAACCGAACCTAGTGGAGCTGTAGTCTCGGGGGATTTTTATTTTGTCTTTTTAGCTCGAATTTAAATGTCTAGGGTTTAACATTCGATTATTGTTCAAGCAATTCTGTGGTGAAGGGTTATCTAGCATATACACCTGACATATATTCAGTGCAAAATAAGAACCGTTTAACAACCGCTGAACACTCTTAAATTATGAAAAATTTGCTGCAAAAATTATGTCGATTTTTAATATAGGATTTCTTCCAATGATGAGACACAATATTCGTTAGTTATATATATCAACAAATAAAATTGTTGGAATAGGAACTGTGAAAATCTACAAGTAACAGTCGAAAAGGTTATGCATCTTCAAGAAGTCTTAGTATAGTGTGGCATTTCGTTTTTTAGGTGTAATATTTGAAAACCCTGAATGTGTAATACATTCCATCAATTTTGATAACTACATTTAAACGGGCGACAATTTATTTATATATTTATTTATATAGTTAATTAACAACCCATCAATATTCTGGCTTGGATGAACCTAAATTATTATTAAGCATCTTGATTTCAGCTCCCTTCCATTAATTACTGGATTGAAGTTTCCACACTGCGTTGGAAATGTGCTCCATTCATTCCAAAAAGTTGATTTTAGTTAGTTAAAGTCTAATACTGTAGTTATTTGTGCATTCCAGGTTAAAGTAAAATATGGTTGATGATATTGGCTTAAAAAAATTTCACATAAACACTCCAAATGAATTGAAAAGAGCTTAATCATTATGTACTGCAATGAGAGAAAAGGATGTTTATGTGATATGAGTAAGCCTTAGTACATAATATATTTCCCTTTCTTGTGAGCGTATCTCTCCTTCTCAGCACTCAAAATCCTATGTTGTTACTTTTCATGCAAATATGAATATTTTTTTTACTTAATTTAAATAAATATAATTTTTTTATATATTTAATAATTTTTGAATTAATTTCTTTTTTACGTTAAATGATGTTTTGCCTGTGTCGTAGCATATACACTACAATAATTACTTTTATTGAACTTAAAATACATTGAAATTGGCTGTGACCAATTTTTGCAATACGCCTTAAACTATGCTTTGATTTATTTACTTTTAACTTCTAACATTTACACAAAACTTGCTATAATATGTTTAGCTTAGCAAAACACTTAGAGCTTAATTAGATAAATTTGCTTAATTGAATAAATTTGCTTATTTAGTTATATTTGCTTAATAAGATAAATTTGCTTAATTAAATTAACTTGCTTAATATGATTAATTTTTTTCAATTATTGATAATAATAATATTATTTTTAAAAGATTTTTGTTTTTTATTATAATTTATGATTATATTTATGTAATTTTTAATATTATTGAAGTGCTATAGAGATGCCACATGTATGTGAATATTTATTTTATGTTTACATTTACTTATATGTTTACATATACCATAACTCATTTCTATAGAGTAAACGCATCTTATGTGTACATATGTATTAAATATACTTAATGGAAATTGCAAAAGGATTTTAAGGATATGTACTACATTTACTAACAACTAGAATGAATAGCATAAAAAGTTTTATCAAATGGTATGTACCATTTATGTCCATTTCCATTTCTAACATATATCTATTTCCATTTTTATCATTATTATATATTATATAGTTATAACTAATAAGCTTACTACGATATAATGAACAACTTAATATAAAATACATATATATATATTATTAGCATTACAAACATTAATAATTCTTATAAAAATTTAAGCCATTGTGTTCATATTTACAAATTAATCAAATGATTTATTTCAATAAATGTGTTGAAAATATATTTTTTTTTTCAGTGTAAAGGAATGAATTTTTCAAGCTTTACTGTGTGTATCAAATTATTTTATATTATTTTTGGGATTTAACTGATCGTTTCCTACTTAATAATAATCCATTTTTGGTGCATCCAATGCTGTGTGTAAAGTCAATGTTACACCGCGATTAATGCTTACCGCTGGATAGAAAACACCATAGAGATCACGGAATGCCACTGAGCCTTGTGGCATTTCATTAACCAGAAAACTCAGGGTGTGTCGCTCCAAGTCAAGTAAAACGCCAATGGTGCTGCCAGTGCTAATGCCACCCTCAACGCGGCGCTCATGTACAGAATTATGTTGGAACCAAGAACGCTGACGGTCAATATACATAGCAAATGATTTTTCATCCTTACCTGCAAAACCAACAAAAACAAAAAATTAGTTAAAACACAATAAAATAATAATAAAAAAATATATGAATGTCCAGAACATTTCGGTTCAAAGTGTTTAACATCCAGAAATGTTTCTAGTAAATTAACTTCCAATTCGTTGAACTTGTGTTTCCAAACAAAGTTGCAGTTTATAAGCGAAAAGTCTAAGCTTGCAGTCCAAACAAATTATATACGGACTATAAATTAATTAAAAAATTCGAATATTTCCTAAGACCTCTGATGATGAGTAATAATCGAAAAGCGTTGTACGATTAGCCAAATTTCAATTAATTAACTAAATTTTTGTTGTTGTCTTTCTAATTTCTATTTGAACTCTTTTAACTTCTAAAGAGTCTCTTATGGCGATAAGACGCCTTATTCTCGACAAAAAAAAATTAACATTTGTAACGATTTAAATTTTAATATATACATGTTACATTATAATTAATTAATTACTTTAATTAAATTCAAGTTTTTTAATTTTTTTTCAGTTAAAAGAAAGCATATTATATTAAAATATTTTCAAATTACTTTTTAATTAACTAATTTCTTTACTTAAATTGTACGGTTTTTAAATTTGGTTTGATTATACAAAAATAATTTGAATTTAAGTATGTTCATATTGTTTATTAATTAATCAATTTTTTTAATTAAATTAAAAGTTTTTAATTTTTTTAAATAAAATGAATACAATTTAAATTTAAATTTTTCATATTTCTTTTTAATTAATTAATTTCTTTAATTAAATTTAAATTTTTAATTTTTTTTTCAATTAAATGAAAACAATTTTACGAAAAATATTACGTATTTTAATTTAGTTTGATTGAACAAAAACAATTTTAATTTAAATATGTTCATGTTATTTATTAATTAATTAATTTCTTTAACTAAATTTAAAGTTTTTTAATTTTTTTCAATTAAAAGAAAGCAATTTAAATTATAATATTTTCATCTTACTTTTTAATTAATTAATTTCTTTAATTAATTTTAAAGTTTTTAAAGTTAGGTTTGATTGAACAGAAATAATTTAAATTTAAATATGTTCACATTATTTATTAAATAATTAATTTCTTTAATTAAATTTAAAATTTTATAATTTTTTTAAATAATACGAATACAATTAGAATTCAAATATTTTCATATTGCTTTTTAAGTAATTAATTTCTTTAATAAAATATTACGTTTTTTAATTTTGATTTGAGTAAGGAAAAATAATTAAAATTTAAATATGTTCATATTACTTTTTAATACGAATGAATTGTTTCATTATAGTTTCAATTCAAAATTATTTCAATCTGCTGTTTCAATAGTGTTACAAAAGACTTCCTCTTCCTGACTACACAAGTAAACTTTGTGTGTGTAATATTGAATTTTATCCAATACTGAGTGTAATACGCTAAAGACTTTTCTATTTAGCAAACATAATTTATTCTTAAAGATTAAAGCACATCACAATGAAGCAAGCGCAGGTGTTGATATAAGACAGTCATTTTCTTAAAACAAAAAAGAAACACAACATATTGTATGGTATGTCGAGAATATTTACAAAAAAAACCAAAAAAGAAACAAAAATTAATGAAACAAAAAACTTTTGAAACAGAGTCAAAAAAAAGAACAAAAAAAAAGCACAAGAGCACACAAAAATATTTGCAGTTATAAGATAGAAGCTTTTAAAAAGTTTTATACAATAGCTAAAGTATCGCTATTTTTCCCCACACACAAGCAAACAAATAGTAAAGTAGTTAAAGTAAATAGAAAACAATACACGATATCAAGAAAAACACAAGAACAAAAAGAAAAACCAAAGAACAAAGAAATGAAAAGCAGCAACAATAAACCGTAAACGCAAGGACAAAAATAATGGAATGGAGTGGTATTGAATCGACACACCGAAGTGACAATGATGCTGCCAATAATTTTGTAATGTAATGCATGCAAGCAGCACTTGGGACATAAGTGTGCTTCATGCATAGAAAGAAGCTAAAAACCAATAATTCGCACCCAATCAGACTAACACGCCCCACCCCAACCCAAACTGCTCTGTAATGTATAAACGTAACGTATCAACAGCTCAAGTGCTAAAGAGCTGCAGCACTTAAAACACGGTACAAACTTTGTACAAATAGTTGAGAGTAGAAAGGAAGGTGACACAATCGAATGGTAGCTAATGAAAAACTTTTTCATTAAAAATTGTGAGCAGCGGTGGAGTGTGTTGCGGAGTAAGAAATAAAAGTTAAAAACAAAATATTTATAGAGTAGAAGTCTAAGGTAATAAGGCGTGATGACGCCCACTTCGACATTAAACTCACAAACAATAATGCATTGAGCCAAAGCTGCAGTAACAATAAAATTGCGAAAATGCGTAGAGAACAATGAAAAGATTGCTAAGTAATTGTAATACAGTTTAAAAAATTGCTGCTCTAATATATTTAAATATATTTTATTTTGCTAATTTATTTTTATTTCATTTTATTTAAAAATGTTTATTTGTTTGGGTTAAAATTGATTGAAAGCTTCAGAGCCATTAAGCAATAAAAGACATAACCACACAATTAGGTAAATAACAAAAAAAATGCATTGAAATAACAACAACAATTTAACGCATAAAGTCCTAACAAAACATTTATGTTGTTGTTGTTGTTGATATCAAAAAATCGCAAGAGCACAATAATTAAAATTAAAATTTAAATGAAAATGAAACAACAACACAAACTAAATGCTACGAGCCAAACAATACCTGAACAAAAGTTTTCTGTTAAGCTTATTTGTATATGTATGTGTAATGGAGTTTAATTTTAATGCCATTCTATTTGTGTTGGTATTTTAGCGAGAGAAGCAGCACTAGTTGTAATGCTAAGTTAACAGGGCCAACTATGTTTTTAACTGTTAGCAGGTGAAAACGTTGTTATTGTTTTCGGTCAAAGGAAAAATAACATCACAAATAATTTATCCCAATTTTAACAATGTTCACCAGTTTTTCATTTCATTTCTGTGCATAAGTTTTTGTATTAAAATTTCAGTAGCACTACAGCGCGGTGCGACAATGCATTACAACAAAGTTTTAATCCATTAACATTTCTATGTTAAGAACAAACTTTGTTGCTGTTGTTGTTCTACATATGTAAGTGGCTCTTCACGGTTGCTATTGACAGTAGTTGCATAAGTTTTTGCTCATTTATGTTAAGTTTCATATCATAAGTAATTCCTTTTCTCTGTTCTGTTTCTTATTTTATTGTTGTTTTTTACGTTTTTAATGTTTTCTTTGTTTTTGTGCTTATTTCTGTCGCGCCCCTCCCTACAGTTTCTTTGACATTGAGACCAGCGTTTGTAATTTTAATTTCCACTAAATCTGTTTTCAAACTTTATGTGCTGTGGAGAGTGGCGAACCGTGGCGAATCGTGGCAAAAGCTTCGGTTACTTTGTTATCTGTTGCGTCGCAGGTTGTGGGAATTGACATTTGTCCTGGCACTTAACGTGTGATTTTAAATTATTTCGTGGTAATTTGCGTTTATAAAATAAAAATTTAAAGAAAAATGGAAATACAAATATTTTCAAATTTCTCCAAATTATTTAGAAATATATAAATAGTTTAGTTTTTTATTACAATTTTTACTTTACTCTACTGGAAAATACTGATTCCTCCTAGTCCTACTAAAATATTATTAGCTGTAGTATATAGGTTGTTTCATTTCTTAGTGTTCTCACTTGAAGTGTTTATTCTTCATTCCATAAAAAAAAAAGTAGTGAAGAAGTATAAGGGGTCATTACAACCCTTTACTAGGGTTCGATCTGACTTAACACTTCTCTCCAGACGTCTTTTCTGCGGTTAGTGCTCTCTCAACTTAATTACTCCACCAGAAAGAAGATCTACTTGTGATAGTAGTCGCCAAAGATCTTATGAAAAACTTTTGTCTTGAAAACTTTCAGTGTTCCGCCATAATAATGTGATAACGGTTATCCTTCTGCTCCATACAGAAACACAGGTAGGATGAGCAACATATGGAACGTATATTTTGTCTGTTTTGATAGAGCACTATACTTCAATTGCGTATTAAGCCAATTGTAGCACCCATTAGTAATAGTAATACTTCGTCTGATCTCTGGTCTAACATCGTTGTTGCACGTTACAACGATACTAGGGAAGATGAAATCCTTGAGAGATTCAAATCCATAGTTGCAAGCTATAAGCCGGCATCAGATATGATGCATATTGCTTCTAGTAGCAACTTTGTCTGAAACCTCGTGCGGTTCGTGGAGACTCAATCTTACATTGTTGTAGTTACGGATACAGACTAACATCATTTTGGAGAGTCGTATTAATTTAGCAGGAATACCGAGCAGAGATATTGATTTTAGTTATTAATCTATTATTTGAGATATTATGGCGTAATTATAATCGTTAAAGGAGCTACCAGCAAATATGTGCGTAAACTAGTATCATTTGTCTGTACTAATCTTAACTTTACTTCAAAATGATGTAATAAACTATGTTGATGTTATCAACTGTAATCATTGAATTCGGGTATCCAAAACATTTACAACCAACAATGATTAAAACATACATTTTTATAAAGAAACATTTAAAATGTTTTTCTTATTTCTTCTTTTTAAAATAATAATGTTCGGTTAAGTGTAACTTAATGACAACTAGTCTTGCCAGGATTGGCTAGGACTGTGTCAGTGATTTAACAGTATATAATAAGTAGATTATATTGTCAAGAGGGAAACGATCCATCTCCTTCTGTTGCCCTCTACTGATATGTTACTGTTACAGTATCAACTGTTCTGACGTTTAGGGTTGGCTTCTCAAAAGTAGGGTTATATTGACTGTAGTTGAAATTAAAGCAATTGCGGGTAGATCAAAGATATGTCTTTACATTGACTGCTGCTATTATATTAGCTCCGCTTCAAATATGTCATTTCTACTGTCACCGATACTGTTTTTCCGAAAATATCGATAAAAGAGAGTTAATTAAGTTAAGAGATTGAAGTAAGAGAGTTAAGAATTCTGTAACAATGTTAAAATGTTACTTTGTTTGAGGTAGCGATATACTTTCATGATTAAAGGTGGGGAATTATGTTGTAAATTTCACAGAAATTTCAAAGTTTGATGAGTCGTAAATACATTTATTACAGTAACATTTGAAATTTACTTGTCAAAGGCTACATCTTTACAATAGTATATATACATATATATGAAGAATTGCATACCTAGTAAAATTCTGAATTATGTTATATCTTGTTTTAAAAATGAATATTCACGAAATAAATAATTTAAACGTTTTAAATATTTACGTTATATATCGAATACATAATATAAGGTTTACTTATATTGTTACATATTTTTATAAACTAAAGATTTAGTGTTTCGTCACAATGCGGAAAATGCACAGCACTCTTTTAATCTCAGAAAAACTTTTAGAATATAAAATGTTATTTTAAACTATCAGGAAAATGTACATGTTGTCCGTAGTGATTTTCAATAAAGTAAATGAAAAAATGTTGAGAAAATCAGTTTTTCGCAGTGTAAAAATAAAATCCAAAGTAAGTTTTGTATTTGGCACCGATGCAATCCCATAAAAAGTATTGCAAAGCACTTAACTCCGGACTTAGTGCTAAAAGCATTGCCTCTGAGGCTTGTATTTTTCATTGGATGTTACTTACCGAGCATTTTATTGCGATTGACATCAATGCGTGCAACACCAAATGCCGGATCCGTGTCCGCCGTGTAGTTATCAATCGTAAATTCCCAGTAATGTACGCCACGTGAGAAGCCAACAGAGCCCAAAGCAACACGATGCTCCCAGCCCTCAACTGATACGGTCGAATTGTTGTTGCTGAAAATGAGACCGGAACCAGCGCCACCACTTAAAACAGGATCAAATGTAAACCAAGCAACTGCAAATAAGGACATGAAAAATATTTTGTTTTACAATTGTTACGGAAAATGTGGGAAAAACTTTATAAATATTAAAAGCAGTAAAAAATAAACAAAATAAAATACTTTAATATACATAAAAGTGCAGAAGGAACAAACGTAATCGTATAATTTTGACGTTACAACAATGCAAAAGCTTCTTTCATGCCATGAGGAACATAGGTTATCGCATAGTAGAGGATGTGAATAATTTCATAAGTCATTTTTTTTTATTTTTATTTTATGTATATATCATTAAAGAACAGCCTTACCGTGCTATTAATATTTGTATAGAAGAAAATCTCAATCTAAAATCATCTATCATAAAGTTCCTAAAAAGTTTCTTTAATACTTTAAATGGGACTCACTCTTAACATTTGCATTCTATGCTTTAGGAAGTAAGTGACTATGATCTTTAAACTTAAGCAAGTAAATAAAGCCTTGGATTACACAAAATCGAATAAGCCTTTTAGTCACTCAACATACTGTGTTACTTTCCCACACTTCGTTGATTGACTCTGAAGTTGGAAGTCCAAAGAATAGTCTACTAAAATCAATTGGCACTCACAAATTACTAAAATTAAAAGTAAAAAGAGCATAGATCTATTAAAATTAAGCAAATAAATTAATACGAATCCATGGATGTAAAAAGTGCTTTTAAATAGTAATTTGATTGATTGTATGTACTTAGCATTATTAGATAGAGACCAGTCTTAGAGATAGAAATAGTCTTATTGTATAGATTGAGGTTTTGAGTATTGAGTATTGATCTAATTGAGATCTGATTGAGTATATCGTTTTTTAACGTGATTATGTTAAAGGAATATTATTTATAGAAGTACACCTATGTTATAGATATAATTTTTCGAGATGCAACTGTGCGTAAATAATGTATAATGTCATAGTAACATATTAATAAAGTTGTTTTTTACTTCCGTTTTTACTACCGAATGTGCAAAGCGTGTTGTACTATTACTAGTTTAACTATTATTTGTAACAGATTGCCGGATTACAGCTTAATACCACGCTGTACCCAACATACGTATCAGTTTGATGCGGGAATCTCACTGATATGTCAAGGAACTCCACTAGTACCAATTGAAGCTATACCTTTGGATATAGTTTCTTTCTTGGGAGTAAAAGGGGTGAGACATCCATGATCAGTTTGGTAAATTCAATAGCGTATATAAGTTAATTATTTTTAAAATAAAGTGGCAGTTTTTTTAGTTACATGAACGAGCTTATTTTTATTGAGTTGAGGGCTACGAAAGTCAAATGTGATTTATCCAGACAAACAAGTTGTTCCATTTGGTAGCAATCAGGCGTTCGAATAATATCATATGGTTCTGCCGTTAATGAAACCAAGCGCAGGGGCCTAATTTGAGAAGCCGTAAGTGTTAACTTATATAACTTTTCTCATTTCTTCATCAGTCACTCAGCAAAGTGTCAAGACAGTCCATCCCGACCGTCGGCTACCTTACAATTTTCATTGGATGGCCTATCTCTATATATTACTGTATACTACTTAACTAATTGAACCACTAAACTTTTTTCTTTAAAATAGAATAGACAATCATGACTATCTATAAGATTATAGGAGTATCATCTAAACATTTTTGAAAAACGAGTTCTTCTATGCATTAAGTTTATAATAAATTCATTGGAGATTAAAGTGTACATTTTAAGGTCTTCAAATGTTTTCTTGATGGTTGATATTGGTTTTCATAAATAATTTCAATAACATGTTTTAACAAATTTCAGGAATCATTTCAAAATTTTAAAAATTTCAAGAAATTAATTTTTTAGTTATAAAATTATGCATTTTTCTGCAAAACTTGAGTCCTATTTCATCAATACATTCTATTATTAAGGATCTTAAAATTTTGTGTTTTTAATAAATAATATTTTGATATATTTAAGTAGCATAACGATTTGGAAATTCTGAAAATTTTAGGAAATTTAATTTTTTAATTACAAAATTTTCAAACCCATCATAGAACTTGAGTTCACACACAGTTGAATATAATGGAATGGAGAAAAAACTTTAATTAAGGTTGCTAAATTGTGAAAATTGTATAACTTTTCCTTTCACATACATTTTAACATAAACGTTGGGCCACCCAATTCCAGTACCCACATAACAAACTGTCAAGAAGCATCAACAACAGAGTTGGAAGCCGAATCGAAGTGACTAGGATTTGCCAGCTTAAGGCTTTACGCGCTAAATAGTGCAAAACATCAATCAAGAGAAAATTCCACTTTTTGATTAGAAACGTTACCGTCAACATAAGAGACAAAACAACTAGAGACACAACAACCTCTTCTAGTACTAGTAAAACAACAACAAAAACAACAACAAACAGCAAAAACAAAAACAACAACCACAACAACTTAAGCAATTACTGCAACTCCCTCGACTAAAAGTAGCTGGAAACCTCCTTTCAGTTAGCGCCAGTAAAGCGGAAACAGTAAAAAGAGGTCAATGGCTGCTTAGCATGCAAAGTTCTCAGTCAGTCAGTCACACTCAATCAAAATACTTGCACTATGCCCGCGCCCACTTGAGGGGCTTAAGGTACCCACAAGTAGCGTGCGGGTTAAAACGATAGTAAACACTTGCCAATGTTGCAGCCTTAACTGCTTGGGCAAGAAAAAAATGATTTAAATCAAGTAAAAGAGCAAACACACTAACTCTGAGTCCTGAGCCTATTTCATGTATACCAGGAAAATGAAGTCCTGCGGGGAGTTTACTGCAGTACACAAGTTTTTACTTGTGTTCTAACAAAGGTGATAAGATAAGGATTTTTTTTTGTGTTAAATAAAAATTTATTTTCTCGTATTCAAATTGTCGTTGCTTTTGTTTATGTTGTTTTCTTTCTCCAACTCTTAGAACTCCAGTTTTATAGAGTTTAGTTTTGTATCTGTATGGATCTGTATAGCAATGGAATAAAACTCACCTTCTGCTGTTTGTAGTCCAATTAGTTCAGAGTATTCACCCTCACCGGCGCTATTGAAAGCCTTGACGCGCGCATTATACATTGAATTGAAGTGCAGTCCGTCAACGGTGCAAATTGTTTCTTTGCCGCAATAAACCTCCTATAGGATTGAAAGAAAGATAAAAATATTATTAAAAATAATTTTATGGTATATATACGGAATTTAAAAAAATATATTGTTATATTAAAAAATTACTTAAATTATAAACCTACATGGCACATTCTTCATGCAAGAAAGGTATAGGCACAGAATGGCATATGTCACACACGGCTATACATTCAATATACCTATATGGCAATAATTAGAACCAGTCTTTTAAATAGAATATTGTTGCGGTGTATATCTCTGTAAACATCAACAGCAACTAGACATCTGAGTGTACAGATCCGCGGTATTATGTATAGGTGCACTCCTGGGGATTGTCTTGGGATCGCATGGGATCACTCGTGGGGACTGTCGTAACGTTTGTGTTTTGGATTTGTAATATATGTTATCACCGGGACCGAGAAATGGGTTGTCAGACATAATGTTGAACGCAAGAGTTTATGAATATAAATAAATAGATTCAAAGCAGTTCGAAAACTGAGGCAATTTGTTTAGTAGAATTTCAAAGATTAGTTGTTTTTGACCTCTTACGGAACAATTAAACAAGTATAGTGCCATCAACTGAAACTGAATGATTCAATTAAATAGAAAAGAAAGTATTGATCAATAGAGAAGACGTAGTGTTCAACAGAGATCATGCAAGAACCCATACAAGTTTGGTTATTTATGTTTGTCTCTTTTTCATATAATGTGTGGATATACTGCCATACCTATCATATTCTCTAGTTTCTCTAATTTTTTAGACCTTAAAATTTTCCTTTAAATGAGGAGTTTAAAAATCACTTAAATCAGTTTTTGGCAGGAAACAACTAAAGTTTTATAAGCGTGGAATAATACAACTGCCAGAAGGATGTCATATAAAATTGAACTAGACTTAATTCTTGATCTTCTTGATTCTTCTTTTTCTTGAGTTAGTGCTATTACGCACTTTTACTCTATAATGGCTAAAGAATATGAAGAATATATAATACAATAAAATTTTTATTCACTATATATAAGAAAAGTATCTTTCACTTTTATTATTTGCCATTGAGCTTTTAATTATTTTTTATTTCTTAGATTCTTTCGTACTGCTTGAGACGACTTCGTATAGACGGACGACTTTGCCTCTGTTGTGCTAGAGCGATAAAAAGGCATTGGGTTCCATATTAGAACTACAGTTAGATGATCTATGAATTTAATATTTTGGGTGCTGATAAAGTCATTTGCTTGAGTTGATGTGTCGATTCTTGAAATTAATTATATGTTATTATAAAAAAATTATATAAAAATATTATATTTTTTTATTAATCAACAGCTTTAGTAGCGTCAACTTTTTTAAAAATTACATAGATTACATGTTTTTTTGAGTCAATAAATATACAAGTATAATTCCAATAATCCATCCATTATGTCTCTAAAATATGAATTTATTAAAGGACTTCTAAAAAAAAAACAGCAACTCATATTGAACTGATATCATTTTTATATAAAACCTTTCCGTAAATAATCAATGAGAACATGTATTCCTCAGTAAATTCGTTTACGGTACAAATGCAATCTTCCAATCAAATTTTTATTACCATAATGCTAAATACAATTCATCAGTAGTAATGTGCAATCTTACTAACGGTACATGTGTTATCATTCAATCAAATCTATATCAATGCTAAATACACTTCAGTATTGTAATATTCACTATACTTATATAAGAAAAAAAAAATTAACATAATGAGAATTTTAAAAATAATGTATTTAGTACAGTTTTAGTAATAATATGAGCAACTCAATTATAGCCTTTTTGTGAGTCCTTCAATTAGTTCGCGGAACTAACTATGAACAACTCATTCGTTGCTCATATTATTACCAAAACTACTTAATTTATATTTTTTTATAATTCTCATTATGTTGAATTTTTTTTTTCTTAACTAATAAATACTTTAGTATTGAAATATGTTTGACTTTAATATAAATTTGACTGACGGAATGCATTCAGAAACAAATGAACGCTAGGAAATATATGTGTTCGCAAAATGATATGGTTTTAAGTAAAAAGATTATCAGTTTAATATAAATTGCTGTATTTTTTTTTACAAGTCCTTTAATAAATTTATTCTTTACTCACGGTAACATATGGATTAATGGAATTATTCTTTAATCCCGATTTAGCAAAAAAATATTTATGTAAATTCTTAGAAAGTAGCACTAAAAAACTTGCGCTTAATAAAGGAAGTACATAAAAGAAAATATGAGCAGTCATAAGATAATTCTTCAAAATATGGAGAATATAATTAATTTATTATATAAAAAGAAAGTTCTACTTCAGACTCACTCCCCTGCCCAAGACACATTTACATTGGTGGCTAACCGAAGTATAGAAAGATATAAACTAGCATAACTATTTGCTCTAATTTAATAATAAGTTTAATTATTCTTTTTTTTTTTTTGGTTTAGCTTTAAAATTGATTTAGTAGAAATAGATATACGACTCCAAAACTGACATGTTATCTTGCTTAGAAGAAAGAAAGCTGCTTTTCGGTAATATCTCAAAAACAGTTTTACAGATTTTGTTATATCCTTTACCTAAAAAAAGGGAGAGGAGGTGCATAAGGAATGTCAAGAGTTTTGCAACGCATGAAAGGGAATATTGTAGAACCCATAAGGTATATATATTCTTGATTAGACCGACGAATTGAACTCAATCAAGCCTCTTTCTCACATTTTTAGTTCCAACTTTGCACACATTTTTTTCAAAAGTCATTCGCATTGTTCATTCTACTGGTCTAAGTTGGATCATTATATCCAAATTACTATATAAACTGCCGATTTAGATATATGTTTTTGTTAAAAATAACCTTTTTTTATTTTCTGATGAATGTACTTTGGAATTTGGAACTCAAGCCTAATTTATAAAATGCAACCACAAGCTATGGCAGCTTCAATAGATTACTGCCATATAAACTGAAAAATCGGATATGACTTTCTACATTTTTAGACAAAATGTATGTTAGTTCTAATGAGAGAATATATTAAGACATATGTTTTTCTTAGGCAAAAGCTTTTTGTATTCTAATAACATAATGGCATTGGTCGGTTTTGATTTGGATATATAAAGTTCGCACATAAACCAGTGACTTAGGAATATGTTTATCACAGAAAAACTTTTATTTTTCAATGCATTCACTAATAGTTTAAAAAGAGGTTGGGTTTGTGTGTTGTTGGCTCCTCTTATCAGTATCCCAAATTAACAAATATAATTATACTGAATGTCTTTAATCCACTCTATCCATGTCAGTATATAGTTATCACTGTTCATAACGTAATATGAGATTTTTATGTGCTATTTCGTAAACTTAATCTTGCAAGTAAAAACCACTGACATTAGATATTTTCAAATTATACACATTAGTGAACGATTTTTTTTCAAGTCCATGCCGGAAACCCATATAAACCATAACACACATATGCTTACATATTAAAGCAATGACCGAATATAATTTTAGTTATAGTAAAAATACTTCAATATTTAATATTCAAATAGGTTTACTCACCCTGAATTCACCGCCATTGCCATCGTCCAATTCAAGTACGTATCCAACGACGAACGAGTGATTTGGCGCCTGCCACGCCACAGTAACGGAATTATTCTCGGCCGAGCAATCTTCTGGTATAATTGTAGGCGTCAATGGCGCTACAATGTTTTTTTTATTGTCGGTTGGTTTGTAAGAATAGCAAAGAAACGGAAACGGAAGAAAACAATATCGTTAGCATATTTTACAAATTAGAATTGCTGGAATGATACTTTAATTATTATGAGCCAAACAATAAATTATATTAAAAACCGAGCAAAGAAAATAAACAAACAGCAAATGAAAAAAAAGAAGAAAACAAAAAGAAAATTATTAAAAGAAGAACATTACACAAGGAATAAAACAAATAAACTAAAATGAAGCAGCGTAAGTAACGGAGGGAATGTGGGAGAGACACAATAAAACGGTACCGGAAAACCACCTACTGAGTTGGTAAATAACAATTACACGAATTCGGAGGGAAACATTGGTATGACTGGCTTTGTGGGTTAGGTGGTTATGGGCTGTTAGGGCGTTTCAAGGAATTCCGTGTGGTTTGATTTTTTATGCATTATTGGCATAAAATTTACTGAAGAAATAACAAAAAAAAAAAAAGGATTCAAAAATAATAGGACGTACAAAATCTACTTGTAATGACTTTTCAAAAAACTCTAGTGTAAATGTGTAAAGGTGTGCGTAAGTATGTAATGGTGTGAGTGAATGTGTAAATGTATGTAATAGGACCAAATGAGGTTAGTAGTTAAATTATGCTTAAGTGAGTTCATGTAAAAATGATACCAAAATTTTATGCTAAAATAATGACTAAGAGTGTTGTAAAGTAAACTAAAGTAAATGCTATGAAAATTTAATTAAAATTAAGGCAAAATTCAGAGAAATACAAAGAAATTTTAATGAAAAACACAACCAAAGGGACTATTAAAAATCTACTTAAAATTCCTGTTTTTGGAGTGCCTTAAAAGGCAGTAAACCCAACGACGTGCGACAGAAATTAAGTGTCAAATGTCAAGTTTTAGTTAAAAGTTAAAAAAAAAAATAAATAAATGAAATAATAAAAATAAAATGAATGGAAATAAAAGAAAATACTTCAAAAATATGTAAATGATGAAATTAAAATCATTTGGGCCAACAAAAACGTACACAGCAGTCGCATAAATAAATTAAGGACATTCTTACAAATGACATTTCATGACCACAGCTGAGAGTATATTAAAGTCACAAAAGCAATTTTTTTTCAAGTGTATAAGTGGAAAATTATTTAATGAATTCCTCGCAAAAGTTTGCCGTATAAAATATGAAATAAACATACAATTTGTAGCGCCATTTTGGAATTATGCCAAACAGGACTTCGCCAAACAAAAAAAGAAGATAATGAAAAAGATGATGAACTCAGTGTTGAGAAGTGCGGAGCAGCGCCACTTTTAAAATGGCGTTAAAGCCAAAGTGCGTTAAGTTAATGGCAACAAAATGGCGCTTTCATATCTATTTAATATTAAAGAGCAGCTGTGAAATGTGACCTTTAAGGAACTGCACTTCATTTTAGTGTGGAAAGCGAATTAAGCATATGACGCTTGGATGATTCTTTAACTTATCAGCTTATGAGTTTTCATAGGCATTATAGGTTATTTAAAGTTTGTGAGAATCATAAAAACTTTCCAATAAAATATAAGTGGTATAATATATTATATATTATATTTGTTGTAAATGAATTGGAATTAAACATAAATATGTCATTATACTAAATTTTTCATAGAAATAATAAAAAGTTGCAATTTAAACCCTTTAAAAACTATTTGAAGATTATGAGAGTTGCAAAATTGGGAATTGGTATAATAAATATTATATTTATTGTAAATGAATTGATATTCTGCAAAAATTTATTATCATAAAAAATTTGTCAGCTCAAAAGTATTTTAATTCAAACACTTCAATATACACTTTCGAGTAAAATATAATATTTGCAAAATATATACCATATTATATTATATATTATATTATAGTTATATTCAATTTGTCTAATAGATTATAGAAACACAGTAATATATATGGTACTTTCAATTGGCGCCAGCGAGCCACTGATGGGCTGGTTAGTGTAGGTCAAGGAATAAGTAACTAAGAACGTATATTGTAGGATATTTAACCACAACAATCTCGATAAGACCAACTTTAATATTATAAAATATATATTTTCTTAATATACCCCTTGATTAAGAATTATCATAGATTTCTTATGTTTTACTTGAAACTACGAATTTTTTTGTCTATGAACTTTACACAAAAAAAAATATATGACAATGATTTCTCAGTTATTAGATAGATGTTCTTCTCTTTTATATTAAATTATTTTTTATTCTAGTAATCTTCGCGTAACATTGAATAAACATCGAATTAAAATAATAAATAAACAAATTATTATTAGTTGTTAAACCTAATAAATAACATAATGTCTTTTTATGAAAAATATCTATCTGTTAGGAGGCTTGGAACGGGTTCCAGGTTTCGTCAGATTTCTTTATTTGATAATTATTTAATATAATGTCATTTGATGCACTTATTCTGTGCTATTATTAAAAATGCTATCAAAAATATTCATCAAAATCAAAAAATTGAAGTTTCCGAGCAGATAGTCAATAGATTTTCATGAAAATTTTACTATATCCTTACAAACATGTACTATGGACTTTCATTCTGCTTAATATTTTATTATATCAGTCTTATATTCATTAACTTTATAATCATTACTAAGTATCATAATTCTATCTGTACTATATGTTAATCATCAAATGATATAAATTTCATCTAATGCTTTAAAACCTGTAGTTTAGGGAACCAAAAACACTTTAAAGATAATATGAGTATTATTAATACTATTATATGCGAGGTCATTCTTTTACAAGCAAATCGACTTTTGATTTCATCACATCCGATTTGTTCAAAATTTTTTTTAATGTACTCCCTTTTTAAAATAAAAGTACCCTTGTCTCAGGAAGAAATTTTTAAATTATTTCTCTAGAAGTTATGGGCACCTATGGTGTTTTAAGAAGTTTTTCACTTTAAACCTGTTTTCAAATACCCATATCTCAGGTTATGTGAAAGAACTATAACACACACTACGCTTATATATATACGTTAAATTTTAGTTGAATCAAACTGAAGAAAATATAAAAAAATAAAAAATATACTCGAAATCCTATGGATTCGTATCTCCTAAGAACAAATTTATATATTTCTTATAAACACAAGGATATTTTTATTTAAAAAAAGGATCTTATAAAAAAAGTTCAACCAATTCGACAGTGTTCAGGTCAAAAATCTTTCTGCTAATAACATAATGATCCATATTCAAGTTAAATCAAGTTTCTGTTAAATCAGGTTTCTGTTAAAGTACGTTTTTGTTAAATTTATTCTGTTATATGGTAGTAATATAAGACCTTTTCCCATAGAAATTACATATAGTTTGTATGTTAGTATTTGACCAAACACCACAGAGAAATAAATTAAAATTGTGAACCCTTTTAAAAACACCAATATTAATAATTAATAATATTGCAATATAAATTTTTTTATAATATTTAATAAGTAATTAAAAAGAGTTAAATATTAACATAAAAATATGTGCCACTTGTGTGTAAGAGTACATATGCTTTTTGTTTTTAATGAAAGCTTTATGTAAATAAGTAAAAAAAAATAATGACAATACACAGGAAACAAAAACAATATTAAAAGCAAAAGCATAATTGAAAGGAAAATTTTGTTGCATACATGATGAGGTAAGGTTAGGTGCATTTGTTGTTGTTGTATTGGTTGTGATTGTGGTTGTTGTTCCATTTAGCATCTCACCTGCTGGTAATCTCTCATCTCCTTCTTTGACAGCTAATTCGTATTAAATTTTTGTTATGCACATAAAGCGACGCATACACACACACACACGCACACGAATAGACGTATATATGTGAAAACATTATGATTTTATTTGTGTGCAATGGACCCAAATGCGTATGCACAAAGCATTGATGGTTTTTTAATTGTTGTTGTTGTTTCAATTTCAGTTTTAATTATTATTTTTTTTTGTATATTTTTTTTTCGTTTTTGTTACAATTAAATTGTTCATTTTTGAATTGATTTTAAATTGATTTGAGTTAAGTTGAGTTGAGTTGAGTTCATTTAAACGTTTAATGTTTACAATTTAATTTAATTTTAGTCAATTTTTTTTTGTTTTTGCGGACGATTTTCAATCATTAGCAAAAGGCAGCATTTATTTGTAAGTAGTCGAATTGACACAAAAAAAAAAACCAAAAAAGATCAAGAAATGTAATGGAAGAGAGAAAAAGAGAAAATATTTATGAATTTATGGTAATTATCATTAATATAAATTTAATAACATTTATTCATAAAATATATATATGTATATGCTATTTATTTAATTTTAATATATATGAAAAAAAACGCAGTATGTGAAAATTGGTAATTAAACCATTATTTTTTTTTATAGATATATTTATTTTTTTTTTTAAACACAAAAATGTTTTCGATCTACGAATCACAATTTTGTATTGTTTTTGCTTTTTTTGTTTTTTTTTCTCATACTTAATATCATTCAATGCGGTTTCTGTTGTTGTAATTTTTTCAAAACAATTGAAAAAGGGAAAGTGTTGAAAGGAGAAGTTATTGTTGTTGTTGTTGTTGTGATTGTTGTAATTGTTGTAATTTGTTTTTGTGTGCTAAGTGTTCTCTAAGTGGATTTCTATTGTGATTTGTAGTGTCGCAGATGCGAGAGCTGCCAACAATATTTTCTGTCAAATTTGTAACAAATTTTCTAATACTTTTATTTTCACTTAAAATAGTTTTTTTTTTTGTTTTTACTTTCAATTTTCTATATTTTTTTTTTCATTTTTCACTGTTGTTGTGGTGTGTAATATGAGTGAAGTGGTTTCTAGTGGATTTTAGTGGATTGTAAACGTGTGTTTAGGTTCTTCTAATAACCGTTTAAGCATAGGAAGCGAAAGGGTGCTTGCTCATTGCATAAGCGATACATTGAGTCTCCTCTTGAGAAGGTTGCTTTTATTGGTATGGTTGATTGGTTGGTTGGTTGGTTGGTTGGTTGATTCATGGTTTATGGTTTATCGCATGCCATAGGCCTAATGAGCTCAATTGCAATTGTATTAAGTGGATTTTGATGAAGTGTACTTGTATGTATGTGGTGGATACTTAAATAGAATTTTGATATTTATGGACTTATGTGTGGAAATGGACGTGTGGAAAATATTTATGGAAAGCGATATTTGTAATTTTATTTTGTGTTTAACAGTTGCGGTAGGTAAAAATTTATGATTATGCATTTTTGAATATGTATATATCTACGCTATACACAAACATACTATATACCTATGTATATATATATATATATATATATATATATCTTTATTATAAATACAATTAAACTTATTTGTTTTATATTTAGAAATTTTAATAACAAGATTTTTTTTTAAGTGATGTGCTCAGTTGCAGTTGATAAATTTAAAATTGAAATTTTAACTCAAATGGTTCAAAGGTTTAAGTGATTAATAAATTTTTGTGGGACTAATAAATTCTTTTCTTTTCTTAAGTGAAATATATTTATTTATTTTTTATTTATAAATAAACGATTTTTATCGCGCTACAAAGCGAGAAATTAAACTATCAAAATTCTGCATTTCCGGCACCAATAGAGATATTAAAATGAAATTTTAATATTCAATTTGCCTTAAACATAAATTCTTCAGATTTCTTTTCTTTTGTAAGGAATTGAAAACTAATCGGCTTACCGGAGCTACTCCCAATTTGGGCTCATATATGGTAAATTCTTTTAATTACCTCAAAAACTATAATAGGCAGGGTAATGAAATTTTAGTGTACTAAGTACTTGTACTATAACATTAAGGTTCAAAAAGTTTGATGAAATTTCGTCCACTGCAACATCTACACTCCAAACAAGGTATGAACCATAATGATGATAAAAGTATGTGTATATATCTATATATATATAATATATGCATATATCTTCCAGCACAAAATGGGAGTGGTCCAATTGTTAATTCTTAAGTTTTTCGCAATTGCATGACACTTAAGCGAAATTGAGTTTTTGCAATATTTAAGGTTTACAACAAACAAGAAAATATCTATAGTAATCTATTTATAAAGCTTGTTGGTAGATATCTCTAAAAAATTATGTGTAATATGATCTTTAATAAACTTTGTATACATTAACAAAAAAGGTATAATCGATGACATAATAACATAAATATTATTATAAAATAATAATTATTTTATAAATATTTACGGACCTATTCTGTGCACTTGACAGATTTATCAAATTCTTTAATAAAATTTTTGATTTTTATATAGCATTAAGCTTTTTGATGTTCTGGACACATCTTGTATAGAAAATTGTTCGTAATTGTTCGTTACTGTTCGTAAAAAATGCTTGTAAAGAGCATATATTTTAAGTTGTCACAAGCATTTTTTATGCATGCAAATAACAATAAAAAATATGCTTGTAAAGAGCGTATATTTTAGTCAAGAATATTTGTCTTTGTCATGAATGCAATTAATAAAAAATGCTTAAAAAGAGCATATTGTTTTAGTTGTCAACAGCATTTGTAGTATTGGTAACTAACAAGGAAAAGAGCTTTTTATTTATGTCACAGAACACCAAAACCTTTACAGCAGTCAATTTTAACAAGTGTCAATGTTTGACAAGCTAATAAAGTGCACAGAATAGGTCTATTAATTTACTTATATTTTAAATTTCAAGCAAATCGGTTGAAAAACAATATAGTTATCATACATCATGTTCTGATGCACAATCCAAAATAGAAGGGGTTGCGGTAAGTCATTCTTTGGGTTCAAAGAAAGCAAATCTCAAAAACTGCATTTAAGGAAAAATATGCTAATATTTCATTTAAATATCTCTACTAGAGTTCAGAAATCATCGAATTTAAATCGGCTGATCTTATTTATGCCACACTGTGCAGTAATAAGAGCGCCGAGAAATGGAGAAATCAAAATTTTAGATTTTGAGCATTTTGATAATATATCAGTCGCGTTATCGATGCGAATTCGTTTGATTCATTTTAGATCCGGTGCATAAAAGCGGCAAAAGAGGTCGCCGCCATAACACTGCTTCAATTATTGATCTGTCTGGGTTTTATAGTACTTTTGCGAAAACTTGTAAAACAAAGTAATATTTGCAGAACATACTATTTATTGCATTGCCGCCCTGAGGGAACACTGACTTAAATTGGAGCCGCAATTATCGACATATCTTGGTTCTACAGTATTTCTGGGATTCTTTGCATACCAATAAATACATACAGAGAATATTTTATTCCATAAAATAATATTTACAGAATATATTAGTTACTGGATTTATCGGAGTCGCAACACTGCCTCATTTAGCGACATATCTTGGTTCTATAGTACTTCAGCCATAAATTCCATATTTTCATTAGTCAAATAATGCTTATAGAATATACTGCTTATTAGGTTGCAATAAATAGACTTTATATTAGACCACGTTAAAACTTGACATCTAAATCTCTTGCAGTGTTTCCAAACACAATAATTATTTGGAATATCTTAACTTTTGTCAATCCATATAACAATAAAATAATAGAATTTAGCAAGGAATTAATATAATACTAATATCTTAAAAGTGATTCTTTAAAACAGAAAAGATGGGATCTTTTTTAAACGGAGACTACCATCTCGCAAACTATGTATAGTTTACATATATACTTTTATCTATTTTCTATTTACTTTAACTTTCAAAACTTTATTCACTTTCAATTTTTACTATTAAAATATAGAATTACTTATCTAAATTACAATATTTTACCTCAAACGTGCTACCTCAAACTACAAATATAATTGCTAATATATCATAAGGCTTTTTAATTAGTTAATTACTTAGGTAATTAAGTCTTTTGAATTTTTTATATAGTGGTGCATTTGCTAGTAGTTAAATATTTACACTAAAAACAATTCAGCATTTCATTAATGAGTAACACTAATTAGCTTAAACTACTTGAATTATAGTTAATGGTTAATAGTTTCTTATGTAGTAATTAATTAATTTCTTAAGGAAATGCTTATTAGTGTTGTAAGGTTTTTAAGTAATCGTTTACAAATAATATCGTTACTTACGTTTCATTTGTATGAAATTCAAATTATCAATGGCACGCAATAATGGTGCATCATCCAAAGTCAAGTCAACAATTGGAGAAACTCGTGGTGCTGCGTTGGTGACTTCCTGATGCCAAGTCATGTCTGTATTAGCAACGCGATTGATTAACATGGAGCCAACCTGTAATTGTAGGTGCAAAGGAAAAAATATTTAAGAAATCCAATAAAACATTATTTAATATATAAAAGTATATTACTATATGCATATATAATTGTATGGTACTGAACCAGAATTTATACAATTTGAAAAAATATTAATAATTGCCTTTCTTAAATTGCAATTATATATATAATCAATGCAATAAAACTGGTAAGGGCGCTGTGATAATTATTATAAAGTAAACTTTATCCGTTCTAAAAACTGTACAAAAATCGATTTTAAGATTCTAAGAGTTATATCACGTACACCATTGGTTGTGTTTAATAGTGATATTATTTCAGAGATAGTCTTTTGTGATTGAAGACATTTTAAAGCTTGCAGTTTTGTGGTTCAATACAACTCATCTGATTAATCATAACAACTATTATTTGTGCTAATAATCAAATTATTTGACATAACACTAAACGGGTAAATTAAAGGTTTTTTTAGATAGAGCAGTGCAAAGTAATGTTCAATCTACGCTCTGAAAATCAAATGTATATTACATTCGAACTGAAAATATTTTAGTTTGAAATTTATATAATTCCCATATCACTGTCTACTAAAATCAAAAAATTTAGAAGATATAGTTATTAGAAAACTTAAATGGAATCAATAACTGGAGATCACAACCGTTACGAAGACAAAATCTGTGATGACGTGATGACAGGTCAATGGTTAAAGAAAATTTGGAATTGTGAGTTGGTTAACTTGATTTACTGTCACAGAATCCTAACTTAATCTTAAACCCGGAGATAACTCTATGGTTGAACAAAATAAACAAAATTATATGGGAGAGAGGTGGCCTACTTTCAATATTTGCCACAATGTAGGGTATTATATATTACATGTGTCAATATCAACAGCTCTGTGCTGAAATCTAAAGAAGCAATCTCCAAACTAAGATATTAGCTATATAAAACTATAATATAATAAAATAATAATATAATAAAACTCATGATGAGTTGAAGTGATGGAAACTATGGCATAGTGGACTATACCCAAACAGGTTACTGCTTCAAACTAATTAAATAAGGTATGAATACCAGTATGCTTAGTCATTAACAATTTATAGGTATAAAGTGATTAAAGAAAAGGGGTTTGTGGATATATGGTAGATATGACTAAACAGATTTATACCGATATGTTGATAAAAATGTCGGTCTACGATTTAAAACACTTTCAGGTTGTCTTGATAAGTATTGCAATGATTCAGAAAGAAACTATGTATTTTGATTTTAAAAATAAGTAATAAAATAAATTATAAGATAAATTATTTATTTTATTATTATTTGATTTAGTTTTACAACGATATCTGTATTCAAATTGATAGCCTTTATCTCGTAAAAATATCAATCTTGTGGTAGATTTGGTAACGGGTCACAGTCGATAACGAACCCATGAAGGAAGATTTTATATTCCGTTTAATCACATCTGTCATATTTATGGGGGAGGCAATGAAAGTGCCTCACATTTGTTTTAGTACTGCTTAGCGCATACGCGATGCGGACTGACTATGTTAGAGATTTCGATTTTTTATGATCTCCACCAATTGTAGGACCTATCGTTGAAGCGTATTTAAGGCTTTGCCAAATGTTCGAAGTGATTTTTAAATTTTTGAAATGTTATATGGACCAATAATGAGCCAATAGACTTAAAAAGTTTCTTAGAATCGGTGCCAAATGCTAACCTAACTTAGTTGTTTATAATTTATTACCAACTATTAACTATAAATAAAGTTTATATGAATTCAGTTTCAATATTATATTATAAATTATAATCAATATTAATAATCACACTTACAGCAATAACAATAAATTGGAATAGGTAATCGGTTACTTACTTGTAAAAATGCTGCACTATCAGTCTCTTTTAGTGCCTCAATACAGAATTGTATGAGTCCTGTAGTCTGTTGCAATTTGCCAGTACAATTTGATTGTTGATCCTTATTTTCCAAAATGTCAATACCGGAAAAAAGCAAAAAGGATAAAAGAAAAAAAATTTTAATGTAAAAATTGACTGAGACAACTTCACTAATTTAGCTAAATTTGCCAGGCCAGTCAAGCGGATAAAATTCATAATAGACGCTTCTTTAATTAACTAAAGTGAGCGCTGTGACTTTATTTAATTTCACCATAAATTTTTTTTATAACTTGCCAGCCATAGGCATCGCAGTGTATTTTTTTATTAGGAACTTTGTTTTTACCTTTAATATTCTAATTTTCGTATCCTTATCCATGCGTATAGCCTCCAGTAAATATTCACGTCTGTCGTGGATGGCTTGTATTAAGGCTTCACATTGTGCCGTAACCAGTCTTTCGAACTCTATACAGGATTCCTGTTTATTAGAGAAAGCATAAATGAAAAATATATGAAAAAGGATATTTTAAAAAGAAGATTTATCACAAAAAAATAAAAAAAAAACATTTAATTAAAATTAAAAAGCAATTTCAAGATGCACATAGCATAGCGCCAATATATGTACAAAATATATGGAAATATGGAAGAGGAAGAGAACAAGCGTAATCTGAGTCTGGTGAAGTGGTGGTTTCCATTTCAAGCTGTTGCCGGCAAACTTGTCTTTTGCTCTATTAAATATTAACTAAAAGAAATTAAGCTTCAGGCTGCTCGAAGCAGTTTTGGTTATTATTTCAATAAACGCTGGGCATGGAGGAGGGGGATTCTTAAACTTTTTTCTTAGTCTCAAATCCACGGACAAACATTGCAGTTGGGACACAAAAGTTATAAGACAGCAAACAAATTTAACCACTTCCCAGGCAGCCTCCTCGGTTCGACTTGGCTTGGTTGGCTTATCTTGGCTTTTTGTGGCAAATTCGTTTTGGATAACTCGAGTTAGAGTCCTTAACTTTTCCGCTTATGCGGAATATGTTAAGCTCGAACAATAGTTTCATTTCAGAATTTTGACAAATTGCATGTGTTTACAAAGGACATGGAAGTTGAGAAGAAGTAGAAGAGTTTTTCCATTAAAGAAACTTTTTAATTTGTAGAATTTCTCTTTTTTCTTAACAGCTTTTTTTTCCTATGTTTTAATTAACAAAAAGTGGAAAAAATTATTTTGGAAAATTAAAATCAAGAAGGAAGAAATTTTTTTCATAAAATTAACGAGTTTAAGGGATATTATCTTTTTTTTATTATTCACACGAAATATTTTTTCGTTATTTAAAAACTTAATAAAAGGATATTGCTTTAATTTTATATGGATGGAAAACAATTTTAAAGCAACACATATATATATATATATATACTTGAGAAAGAATGAATGTTCATTTTCAATTAAAGTTATCGATAAAAAGATATATCGAAAAAAAACGATGACATTTTGAAAAATGTTCATCCAATTAGAAAGCTTTTAACAATTTACATTAATAGTAGAATTATAAAAGAAATACAGAGTATTTCCTGGAAGCATCTATTACGTTTCAAAGATCTATTTAACAGAGGAAAACTTCTTCTGTAGCTGTTTATCTCTAGTCAAAACCAGAACGGTTCTCTTGGGTTATTGTATTTTTAGTTCCCTTACAGTAGAGTTTGGCTTCAAAATTAATAAAATCTAGAGCTTTATTGGCATGTTGAATGATTCTCCTGTAAGTAATGATAATATTATGGACTTTTGCAGCGTAAGTCAATTAGTCAACGTAACTGACTGCCACAATAACTTAACCAAATCTAAGACCCTAAGATATTTCTTCGATTTAATGAATGACCAAGGTGCTTTGAAATAATTTAATATAAATTTAAAAAAAAAGCGATATCCGTTTAGGATAGGGAGTTGTGTGTGGTTCTCATATTTTTGGGGAATGTGAAGAAATTTAGACTTTTTGACATTGCAACATATAGTCATTCAAAAAATTTAAATACTGCGAATGCTTTCTTATACTTACTTATTTGGTCATGCTAAATTGCTATATTACATTAAAATATCTTCTTTTCTTTATGCTAATCTCGGTTTAAATTAGAAATGGAGTTATTAAAGGACTCTTAAATTAATCTTAAATTAATTTCTTAGTTATTATTAAGAACCAAGTTTTATTAAAATTTGTGTCGGATATTCCATCGAATTCCAACAAAATTTCATCATCAGTGAACTTTGGAAAGCAAATTTTTTAAATTTTTTTCTTAAAATCTCTCACCTAAATGAATCTTATATTAATTTCTTAGTTTTTATTAAAAACCGATTTTTATTAAAAACTATTTCTGAATTCCATCGTCAGTGTTGTTTAGGAAATGAATATTTTTTACTGACTTTACTTAACATCACTAGTCTTTTTTAATTATTGTTAAAAAGTTTTTAGATTGCAAGTACCAAGGGTTAAACCCGTACCCGTCCAATTTGAAGCTCAGGGTCAGTATTAATTAGTCAGTGAATTAAGCCGAAGCCGTATTTGACTTGACTATTGTTCTACTTTGAAATTTTTTTAATTTGTTGTAAAAAATTCATTAAAGAATTCAGTCATTCTGTTATGCAATATATAAAAAAATTATAAACCAGCTGTAGAATAATTAAAATATTTACTAATTAAATTGTTATATAATATTAGTACTATCGGTTTAAAAAGCTTTTCTATTAAAAAAATAGTTTCTATTTAGAAAATATTGTCATAATTGCCTTTAAAAATTAGAAGGGTTTTGTTTAAACCCTTATTTTCTTCTTCTTAAGAAGAAGGGTTTTGTTAAAAACTCTTCCCTTCCCACTAATTTCGTATAAATATATTTTCTTACAATTTTAATTTTTATATCTCAATTCAATGCTTTCGCTTCCGTCCAAAAATCCTTTCTAATATAATTTTTGATAAATAAATTTCTTTTGTAAATAATTTAAAAGTGTCGCCTATTTTTGCTTCTGGCAGTGTTTAAAAGTTTTAACGAGAAAAATTTAATAAGAAAAGTAATTTAAAAGCCCATTTCTACTGTCTCGTCCGACAAAAATTAAAAAAAAAAATTATTTTATACATGAAGGAAAAAAGGGAAATTTTTGTCATTTGCCGAGCATTTTCCAAGCGATTTTTTACAAATTTTTCTTTTAAACGTGGTGTGTGGTGTGTTACATAAAATTATATTCAACGCTCCGGGTAAGGCTTACTTACCGTTACTTTGTCGCTCATGCCCTTTAGACGCTGTATGAATTCCGTTGTGGAACGTGCCTTCTCCGACAATTGTTGCAGATTGTGTGAAAGTTCCGTCTGGAATGATAAAAAGAAGAGAGAATGTTTTAAAATATGAAAGATGTTCCAGAAATGACAGGAAAGAATATTATAATAATTTTAAGAGTTATTTAAGAAAATTTAATACTGCTAAAGTAGATAAACGTTAAGGGATAAGTAAGTGGATTAAGAATAAAAATTAAATAAATATTTATATTTATATATTATTGACCATAAACAATTTGGTGTGTGACTATGAATAGTCACTAAAAAAAATAATAAAATATAAATAAAAATTGATAAATTTGGATATGAAATAAAATAAAAATTATAAAACTATAATTATAAAATTATTTCTTAAGACCATTGATGATGAGTACTTGGCAATACTCGAAACAGCATTGTGTGGTCAGCCAATAAAAATTTAAAAAGTGAAATGATATAAAAATTATGAAACTGTAATTATAAAATTATAAACTAATTAAAAAATTCAAATATTTTCTATGTCCACTGATGATGAAAATTAAAAAATTAAAATTTGCATTGTTGTCTTTTCAATTTTATTCGAACCCTTCTAACTTTTAAATAGTTTCTTTTCTTCATAAGACACATCATTTTCGGCAAGAAAAAATTAACATTAAAAAATAATTATGTTTAAAATACGTAACTAAAAATATAGAAATATATATTTATATATATATATTATATATATATTTCTATGTTTTTGACGCAACAAAGCATTTTGAATACTTCTTGATTAAAAATAAAATGTCTTAAAAGCATATGTCTTGCTTGTATATAAAAGTGAATGGTATATATATATATAAAGGAAAACATTCTTGTATATTTCATATAACTTCATGTAGAGAAATCTTCATATATGGAAGTACTCACATCTGAAATGTACACAAGATTACATTTCAAAACTAGACAATTACGGTTTAGTGAATTTTCCCACTACTAAAACTTCTCACAATATATATCATTAGTTTTTTATTAAATTTTTTTTTTAAATAAAATAACCGACCACGATTTTCTTGTAAATGAAAAATGTTTGTTTTATGTGCATTTGACACCCACAAACCGCAAAGAGACAACAACCCAACGAAATACAACAAAATGGCAAATAAACGAATCCACAAAATGTTTGACATTAAAATTTTATAAATTGTTGAAATCTTTTGCAACAATTGCAACAATCGCAACATCATGACAGTTGCAACATTTTCCCCAAATAAATATTGAAAAGGTAACAAGCACATTAGTATAGAAAAATGTCATAAGTTGTCTATTGAAAGGTTGCCACAGTAACTGTGACATGTCATTAACACGAGAGACGTAACCACAGAAACCAATAAACATTTCACATTTTACATGTGACAATGACAGTGCCAATGACAGTCGTCGGTGAGTGGCCAACGGCAAATATCGAAAAATCTTCAAAAAGATTTATCAAATTCTGAAGGATTTATTAAAATGAAAATAACAAAAATTATAAAATGTCAGTAAAGGATAACAGTAATGCGTCGAGCGCACTGGAGGATAAGCCACTTCATGTCTCGCCCTCATGTCAAAATCAAATCATAATCTTTTTCTCGAATATTGAAAAATGCATACTTCATCCATAATGGCTTTTAATGGAAGATACTTTATTGCATTTGTGGTCAAACATTTTATTTTATTAAATAAGTTTTAGAATCTGTAAGGAAAAGTTCATAATTAAAATTGGTTACCTAGCGATTGCCGGTCAAAGGATTATCAGAGATTTAATGAAGCCTTTAAAAATTATTTGCATCAAATTGACTCTAAGAGACGACGGCAAAGCAAGTATTAGGAAGGTTCCATGCAGTGATACATAGACAGAAAAACACTTGAGTGAAATATACATATAATCGGAAATATGAATTATGTTTAAACAAAAAAAAACATTGGTGGTAAAATGGTATTCTTGATAATCATCTAATAGAGGTAGTTGTTTTGATTTGCGCCAATGGGCAATAGAGCAGTAGTCTTTCATACCTGAACTATCATCTCAACTAAATAAGACTCTGTTTGTTGTGTCAAAATTATGTCTGCCTGTAAAAGGGTAATGAGTCAAGTTTTGATGTGACCCAAAGGAAATATATGGGCACTGAAATTATGGAATGATATAATCCCGCGGTTTTTTTCACTAAATGTTGTTGGTACCCATTTATCTGGCAACACTAAGGCGGTTATATCAAACAAACTTATGATAGATGAAATGTGACATGTTGGACTGTATTTCTTTGTGAAGGCAAGTGTGTTTATTGTATCTCTAGTTGAAATGTTAAATTTTTAATGAATGTTTTAATTTTACTAGTTTATAAATAAATGAAACCCTATCTAGGGCATTCTTTTGAAGATTTTAGATTGGGGAGTCATTTAAAGGGTAGACACAGTTTCATTGTAAAAATGTGAAGCTTATAAAGACATTTACATTTATACATATATTACCATAAAAATTCTTAGACTGAAGAGATTCAACTAAGAAGTCTTCTTAAGTTTCTCAAATATTGGTAACGAATAACTAAGGTACTCTTAAGCCGTAAGCCACTCAAAGGACATTTAAGATTGTACACTCATTGAAATATTTATAATTTTAATTAAAATTTTAAAAAACAATTACTCTATGGAAACCAGTTGTAATTTTAATTAAAAGCAATGTAACGAATATCCTTTTATATCAAAGTATCATAATGCTATATAATTCTATAGAAAATATTCATTAAGTGTCTATTTAACATACTGAGAGCTTCTAATGAAGTAAATTAAGGAATCTATTAATTAAGTGAATGCTTGCTAAAACTTTTGATGTGTTTTAATCCTTTCCGATTATAAGCTGTACATTTGTGTACTCAGTAAGTGAGTTCTGAGTCTTTAATACTGAAATTACAACCAACATAGCAACATAATCCTACCAACTGAACAACCACATGTATAATTTTACAATTCGCAAATATCAATTTTAATTTAAATTTTATTTTTAATTTAAATTTCAAGTATTTAAAATGAATAAATCTTTACATTACTCCTCCCCTTACCCACATTTGTTTGGTGGTGCAATGGAACATTCTGTTGTTGACTGTTGTCGATATTTTTAATGTTAGTCATGACCCACGTTTGTTTTCTTACTTAACATTCCAATTCATTATGTATTAAATCATTACAAATTACAAAGGTAACAGGAAAAAAGGAAAAGAGCACAACAACAAAAGCCACAAAATAAAAGAAGTAGTAAACAAAAAAAAAAAAAATACGAGGGGAGTTCAATAATTTTTAAGCTAAAGAGAATAAAAAATTATTATTATATTATTATTATTATATTATTATTATTAAATTATTCACGAGTTAAGGCATGCCTGTCATAAGAGGTGACTAAAATTCATTAGGTGCCACTCAGTACTGTCTTGAAATATAAGTATATAAGTATCAAGTAAATTTTCACTTGCGATACTCCACAAAAATGATATCTGGTACCAAGTCCAGGTGTTTGCAAATTTAATTGCCTTTGATCTTTGCCTGACTTCATAAAGGAATGTCGTCATAATGTCTATAGTTTATATCTAGAGTCACGCAAAAAGTGTGACATATATGCTTCCAGCTAATATGAGGTTGTATTTCTCTAATAAGAAGTTGTGATACAAAGAACAACATGGCTTTAGATGAAGTTTACCCACACAACAAGAAAGAAGTTCTATCAAACATATAAATTTTATTCGTAGCTTCGAAATTCCTTTTAATAGGGCGCTTATCGATGTATTACATTGATAGGTCTTTGACATTACTGTGGTTTTAAGTATTAACTGCGGCGAAATTTCTTTCAATGAGGCATTTACCGATACTTTATATTGACAAGTTTTTGACATAACTGTGGTTTTAAGTTTTTACTGGATGTAAACATGAAGCAACACTGCACTCTGTGTTATTGGGTGTATAACTTAAAAAAAAAATACCATTTCATGTAAGAAATAATATATATTTATTTAAGTCAATATATTTACCATCGTGAGCTATAACTTTTGACCATCTTTGCGAAGATCTGTAAATACCATACCAAAATAATTGTTTGTCTTTTGATGTGATCCAAAAATCGAGTCGTTTTTAGATTTCTTTGTGGTTTCTGAAGTGCTGGTCTAAACCTTCAAAACATTTTGTATAGTTATGATTATATTTAATACGCTGGTGTATTTTATATTAAATATAAAACTTAAGAGTGCTTTGCATTGATCGGACTAAATAGCAATTTGATGGAGTACAAACTGCTGATGGTATAGTCAACTTTGAAATGAACCAAACATGTGTATGGTTGGTTTCAGTATAGTATATGTTAGTCTAGACTTTCAAAACATTTTGTATAGTTATGATTATATATAGTACGCTGGAGTATTTTATATTAAATATAAAACTTAATCGGAATAAGACACTTCTCGATTAATAAAAAATGTTTTTAATACTAATCAGATATTTTCAGTGATGCATTTTAAAGCCGTAAAGTATTCACTTTATATTCAGGTTCGAAACTTTTCAAACACACTACGTACGTATAACAACAACAATAATGACTGGAGTCAGATCAAAAGAAATAACAAAAATAATAAACTTATTCTAATGACCCGAGCTCAAGTACGAAGAGAAGAACATCAATACCAAAACAACATTAACAAGAAAGCAAACAACAAAAAATAACAACAAATAAAAATAAACAGAGTTGTATGCCAATTTTCTATTTTTTTTTTGTTTTTTTTTTTTTTTGATGTTTTGTTCTTGTTCAAATTGTTGCTGCTGCTGTTTTGTATGTTTCCGTTGTGAATTTGTTAATAAACAAAATATATCCTTAAGGCAATTTCACTTTTCATATGAAAAGCAGAAACAAAAAACAAGAAACAAAACTTGGAATGAGCAGGTAGATAAATATGGTTAGGTGGACAATGGGGGAGAATAACATCTGCAGCGCCATCAATGAAAATAAATTTAAACACAACAACCATCCTTCCCTCCTTCTCCTTTTGGGCGATATA